GGTAGGTGCCTGTAATCCCAGCTACTTGGAAGGCTGAGGCAGGAGAATCACTTGAACTGGGGAGGTGGAGGTGGCAGTGAGCTGAGATCACACCACTACATTCCAGCTTGGGTGACAACAGCGAGACTCCATCTTGAAGAAAAAAGAAAAAGCTTTGACCTCTGATAACACCCAGAACAAACCGTTCTTTCCCTCAGAGCCAAGAAGACAAAGACATGATGAAAACCTGAATGCTGGGACTATTTCAGAAGCAAGGGGTCCATTGGCCTGGAAGATCCAGTGATATGATCTGCCTCAACATACCTTACTGTAAATGATCAGATTTGAAGTCCTCCATTCAGACTCTGCCAAGCCAACATTCTTTTTTTTTTTTTTTTTTAATGTAGTTTCACTCTTGTTGCCCAGGCTGGAGTACTCACCGGAATTCTCCAGACACTGGCTTCCTGCCCTCCTTGCCTGCAGCGGCTGAGTGTGGGGAGTGAAGAGCTGCCGTTTGCGAAGGTGTTGCAGGTTTTACGTGGGAGGGATCTGGAGTCAAGGCCAGAGTTGGGTTTGCTCCTGGAAGGAAGGGGTGGGGCCGAGGGTTTCGGGAGCTTCTCCATTACCGTCCCTAGCACCACTGCTGCAGTCAAGCTTGGAGTGATCTCCAAAGCCAAGATGTGAGTTTAGCGTTTAGTTGTGATTAGGAAACAGAAGAATGAAAGGCAAAAGAACCGAATATATAGATTCATTTTATTTTATTTTTATTTTTATTGTATTCTGTTTTTTTTTTTTTTTTTTGGTTTTTTTTGTTTTTTTTTGAGAACGAGTCTTGCTCTGTTGCCCAGGCTGTGGTATAGTGGTGCGATCTCGGCTCACTGCAACCTCCACCACCCAGGTTCAAGCAATTCTTCTACCTCACTCTCCTGAGTGGCTGAGATTACAACTGCATGCCACCATGCCTGGCTAGTTTTTGTTTTGTACGTAGGGTTTCACCATGTTGGTCAGGCTGGTGTCCAGCTCCTAACCTCAGATGATTTGCCTGTCTCAGCCTCCCAAACTAGTGGGATTACAGGTGTAAGCCACTGCGCCCCGCCCTTTTTTTATTTTTTGAGATGTCACCGGGCTCCTGACCTGCCCACTGAACACAACCCTGCAGGGCTCTTGAACTCCAGACCTCAGGCCAGCAGACAAGCTTTTTCTAATTGACCCAGGCAAGGGAAGTGAGCCTGTGAGTGGGGAAAAATGGGTACTAGCTAGGCAGAAAAGGGGCAGGTCATGTTTTCCAGGGAAACCTTGAAGGCACCAATGCTTCTAGTCCGGTGCAGCCCACACACAAGCCCTCAGCAGCCCAGGCACTCCAGGCTCTGAACACAAGGCCAGTCTGGAGTAATGTGTGTGCACAGAGTCAAGGGGCAGGGGTGGAGCACAGCATGGACTCATAGATCAAGAAAGAAGAAGGACACTTGCCCTGGAAGCAAGTCCCAGCTACATGGCTCTCGGGGGAAATTACAGAGCATCAGTAACATATCCTAGAACAGCAGCCCCTGGCAGATGCTTCTCTTTCCCTGGGTTTGAAGAAGGCTCTGCAGACAGAGGCCAGAGGAGGCTGAGGCTTGGAAGCCATGGGGCCCTATGGAAGGAGGGCATCCCCCCTCCTCCTCCTTCTTTGTCCTCACTATTTAAAATCCAAGGTCAAGCTGGGTACGAGACAGGTAATCATCTGAGTAGAGGTGAGTCTCCCAAGCCTTCCAAGAATTTCGTGAGTTCAGAGGCAAGCAGGCAGGAGGCAGTGGGGGAAAACTGAGGCGTGGGACTTTCAGGCAGAGGAGAGGCTGCTCACAAGCTAGGGCCAGGGGCCCCTTCTCCCTCCTCTGGAAGCCCCTTGACTGGCAGGTCCACAGGCTGCTAGCTCCGCCCCCGCCCTCAGCCACCACCGGAAGGCACCCTAGATTCAGACTTTGTATTGCACTCCAGTAAAAAGCTCCGAACCCGCAGCGGGTGGCCCAGAAAGGAGGTGGGAGGAGGGTTCCACAGCTCAATCCTATGAGGCAGGGGTGACTATTATTCACATCTTAGAGATGAAGAAATGGAGATGGGGATTAAAATCCTTGCCCTCAGAGACTAAGTTGGCCAATGTCCTGCAAGCATCAGCAGTGACTGATTGAGTCACAGCCTCACTATTACAGCCAGAGCTGAACTTCCTCACACGCCGGCAGGTTACTGAATCTCTGCAGGGCTTGTCCTCTACTCACTCACATTTTTTGAGAGCTCAGTAAATCCAGGACCATCATCTGTTAGGAAGAGCTGCAATGTTATTGAATTTTTATTTATGTTTTTAAATTTATTTATTAAAAACAATTTTTTTAGAGATGAAGTTTCTCCATGTTGGTCAGGCTGGTCTCGAACTCCAGACCTCAGGTGATTGGCCCGCTTCCGCCTCCCAAAGTGCTGGGATTACAGGTGTGAGCCACTGCGCCAGGCTTGTATTTTATTTTTTTAGAGACGGGGTCTTGCTCTTTCAACCAGGCTGAAGTGCAATGGAGCAATCATAGCTCACATCAGCCTCCAACTCCTGGGCTCAAGCGATCCTCCCATCCCAGCTTCCCCCGCAGCTGGGACTACAGGCATATGCCACCATGCCGGGCTTCTCGGAGCTGCAGTTTTAAATCGGGAGACAGGGAAGACCTCTCTGCGGAGGCGGCAGGTTATCAAGACAGATGGCGTAGAGAAGAACCTTCCAGTCAAAGGGAAAAGGCAGATCCTGCTGTGCTCAAGAATGGCCAGAAGTACTGTCATCCCCATCTTAAAGACGGGGACAGGGCCGCAAAAGCGTCAGGGCGTTTCCTGGTTCTTCAACAAGCAGCTAGATCCGAAGTCGTCTGGACGATCCAGCCCCTTTGCCTGGGTCGAACCTCCCCTGAAGCGCTCTAGCGCGCAGGGCGCACAGGCCTCTGGGGCCCCGGGTCCGGCTCAGGATCCGGCTTGGCGTCAGCAAAGGGACCTGAGCGGCGCCCTGGGGCGGGGGAGGCCCGAAGGCCAGTGGCCAGTACTGCACAGCCGCCAGAGCTCCCGGCGGAGGTCTGGGTGCTGCGGAAGCCGCTGGCGTGCCCAGGGCGGAGGAGCCGGGTCCACTACAACCGCGGCGGGGTACGGGGCCGTCAGGGCGGCGTCAGGCAGGGGTCCTATCCCAAACCCCGACCACACGCCGCCGCGCGGTCTCCTTCCTACCGGAAGGGCGGCCACGGAGGACGAGAAGCCGGGCACACGGAGCACCATCTCTCTGGGGAGGAGAACGGGGTGTCTCCGTGAGCCCCGCCGCTTTCCACCACAAGTCCCCTCCAATCCCACCTGACAGCGGGGTCCTCACTCCAAGCTTCAGCCCAGCCCTGGGCCCCGCCCCTGACTGAAGACACGCCCCCTGCACCTGCCAATATCAGGCCCCGCCTCCATCCCAAGTACCCACCTGTCCCCCCTGCTTTGCTCTGGCGCTCCACCAGACCCCAGCATGCCCACCAAGACCCCTACTCTGGACCCCAGCCTGGGTCATCACCCCCGCCCCAGCCAGCTCCTCCGCGAGTTCCACTGCCGACATTCCCAGGGCACCGCCTCCCTGTCACGCTCCTCCCCTGCACTGTCTCCGTCCCCGCCCTGGACGCCCCGCCTACTTCACAGGCCTGTCTGGTCCCTCTCAGCAGGCCTGTGCCACGCGGGGTCCGCCTCCTCCAGGAAGCCTTCCTCCCGGCACAGAAGCCCTCCCCGCCTCACCAGGGCCCTCGCCCGCTGGTCTACCCAGCCCCGCCTTTTTTGCGGCCCCCCCTTGTGCTGCTGGACCGGATGAGCAGGTTTGACAGTGAACACCACGTAGACGCGGCCCCAGTGCCACGGGTTCAGGCAGTAGAGCACGTAGACGCCGAAGAAGCGCCCCGAACTCACCGCGATTCCCACGGGACCCTTCGAATTTTAGGAAATAATCACTAACGAAGCATACTTCTGTGTCAGCACTGACATCAAGAAGAGGACCTGACCAGCACGTCTAAACCCGCTTTGTCCCTCCCTGGTTCCTCCCCTTGGGTGCCCGCTGTGATGCCATCCCACCCATCTGTAGCTGAGTGCAGCAGCCCCTGTAGGACACCTGGCAGATGGGGTCACAGTCCTGCTGGGCTCTCGGGCTCACTCTGGAGCCGGGGGCTCCTCCAGCAGCTCAGTGCAGCAGCCTAGGGGTGGTGGGGGCTGCAACCTGTCCCTGGGGCCTCAGGGCTCCCTTCCTTCCCACAGCGGCCAAGATCACAGGTCTCTACAATGACTCGGAGCTGCCCCAGAAGACCTTGTGCAGAGGGGTGCTGATGACCCTGCCCTGTGGATCGGGAAGCCTGGTGACAAGTGAGGCAGCAGTTGTGAGGGAGGGGCTGGTGCCCAGGGGCTGGGACTGATTCTTGGTTTCACTCACAGGCCCCTACCCCTCTGTGGGGCCATCCCTGCCTCAGGGGACTATGTGGCCAGACCTGGAGACAAGGTGGCTGCCTGGGTGAAGGCAGTGGGTGGGAACAAGCAGTGGATACTGGCCAAGGTGGTCAGTTACAGCCACATCACCCACAAGTGAGTGACACCAGTCCCAGGGCTGCTCTCAGCCCCTCCTGTCCCCAGCCCCTGGATGACTACTCCACCCTATCTGAAGACACCTATTCAGACAGCTTCTCCCCTCAACTCAGTGTGGCCCAGAGGTACCTGGTGGCTTCCAAAGAGCCCAAGAAAAAGTGACGCCGGCTGGCAGATTCAATGTCTTCCACCGTCTTGGGGCAGGATAGCAAAGGATATGCTGGGATTAAACAGGCATCCCTCCTCCACAGGTCTCCTGAGTTTTACTTCTCCAGATCTCTCCCCCCTCCCCAGATATTGGTGGCCTGGGGAGCTGGACGCTGAGGGAGAGGTGACCGTATATGGCCCCACTGGGCATTCACTCTTTAGCTCGGAGTTTCTCTTCCTTTCCAATACAGGCTCTACATTGAACACAAATCATATTTTATTTTAATTAAACTTTATTTTCTTTGAAGGGAGGGTCTTGCTCTGTCATCCAGGCTGTAGTGAATGGGCATAATCATAACTCACTGTATTCACAACTTCCTGGGCTGAAATGATCCTCCAGCCTCCGCTTCCCAAGTAGCTGGGACTACAGGTGAGTGCCAGCACATGTGGCTAATTATTTTTACATCTTTGTGAGATGAGGTCTCACTATTTTACCAGGCTGGTCTCAAACTCGTGGCCTATTGCGGCGATCCTCCCAGCTCAGCCTCCCAAACCGCTGGGATTGCAGACATGAGCCACTGTGCCTGGCCCAAAAATCATACTTTATTCTTGAGCCCTGTGGTCAGGCTTGACTCGCACGTTCCCTCTGCAGTGACCCCGGGAGCCCCTGTCACAGCTGGGAGCGGAAGCTGAGGCTGCAGCCTGCCATCTTCTCCGCATAGTCCGCATCGAAGCGCTCATTCTGCGCCACGGTGAAGGTGGTTTTCCAGTCCCCAGCCGTGCCTGGGAGAGGAAGGCAGGGAGCAAAGCTGTAGTCTCACCCCAGGGGAGGCCCCTAGCTGAGTAACTATGGCGAGGCTCCAGCTACTGCTCCCACCTGCCCCAAACCCCCGTGTTGGCCAGCACCCACCTTTCCTCATGAAGGGGGAGATGCTGTGGTCCATGAACTCCTGGGGGGCAGTGGTGTAGTTGGTCATGGGGTTCTTTTTCATCTCTTTGAACGATGTGTGCTCAACAATGAGGTCCACGGTCTCCTCCGGCAGGGAGCGCCCCACAAACTCCAGGATCTTCTGAATCTCCCTTTTGGGGTTCTGAGTAGCAGAGGGCTCCTCAGTGGAGCAAAACAAAAGGGGTCCCCTTCTCTAACCTCAGGAAGGGCATCTGGCCACTTCCCCTAGAAACCCAGAAGAGCCTTGACCCTCCGGGCCACAGTCCCCTGGGTAAAATGAATTGCTCTCTGCCCTATGATCCCATGATAAAGCTGGGCTTGGCTCCTACGAACAAGGGATGATAGGGATGGTCTTCTTTCATAACTGTGGCTCCAGGCTGGAACACTCTTTGGCAGGGAGAAGCAAGAGGACTAAGTATCTGATCCAGGGCCACCTGTGCAGCTGACACAGGTGCAGGAGATGAGAGCTGTGTGGGGCCTGCTGCCAGGTGGGGCTGCAGCTGGGAGGCCTGGGCCAGGGAGGCAGGATGGGGAATCTGGGCCTGCTGTGGGGCTGCCTGGAGAGGGGACTGGGTGGCCTTGGCGGGTCCCTGTGAGGTGCCTGCCCCCAGGTGTCACATGGAGGGCGGCAGCACAGGCGGTCTCACCTCCTTCATGTCTTCATAGAAGAGGTAGAGAACAGGGTGTGTGCGGCTCAGCTCCCACCACTCCTGCACGTGCTGGTACCAGGACCCGTAGGACACTGGAGAAGCGGGCGGGGGCACCGACGCAGGGTTGCCGTGTGTTGTAGCCACCACCCCTCAGCTCCACACCCTCCTTCCTGCAGTCAACCCACCTTCTCCGGCCATGAACTTCTCCAGGAAGCTGTCCCAGGTCCCAGGGTCAGGGTGTGTCTTTTCCATTCGGTGGAAGTGGTAGTAGGAGACGGCCACGTCCTTTGCGTTGCGGGCAACGTAGACCACCTGCAGGGGCAGAGGACCCGACCCAGCGCCATCACACGGCCCGCCCCAGGCCGGCTCTTCTTTTGGTTTGGCAAAGGAGGAACCTGACGCTTAGATGCTGACTTGCTTGAGATCTCATGGCACAGGTAGGTCCAAGCGGGGATCTGAACCCTGCTCAGATGTCAAAGTCCAGCCTGGTCCCTGGATTCATCTACATTAATGTAATCTGCATCAACGCCATCACACCCGGATCTGGAGCAAGGCATGCCCATTTCCCACCAGCCCCTCCTCTTCCAGCCTGTGAGCACCCACATGCTGCCTTTCTCAAGTGTGTACTGTAGACACTCACTATCCTGGCATTGGACCCCCTTCAGAGCAAGAGGGCAGATCATATTCTCTGTCAAGATGTGATGAAGGCTGGGCACGGTGGCTCATGCCTTTAATCCCAGCACTTTGGGAGGCCAAGGTTGGCAGATTACCTGAGGTCAGGAGTTCAAGACCAGCCTTACCAACATGGTGAAACCCCATCTCTACAAATTCAAAATTAGCCAAGGGTGATGGTGGGTGCCTGTAATCCCAGCTCCTTTTGAGGCTGAGGCAGGAGAATCGCTTGAACATGGAAGGCGGAAGTTGCAGTGAGCTGAGATCAAGCCACTGCACTCTAGCCTGGGCAACAAGAGCGAATTTCTGTTTGTTTTTTTTTTAAAAAAAAAGATGTGATGAGCCTGGCGGAAGCGAGGCGGCCTTTCCAGAAGAACAGAAACATGGCTGGGAGGGTGCCCAAGCCTCCCTTTCTGGCCTTCCCTGCCACTTAGCAGGAAGTTTTTTTTGTTTTTGTTTTTGTTTTGTTGTTGTTGTTGTAGAGATGGTTTTGGTCTGTTGCCCAGGCTGGAGTGCAGCAGCAGGCAGGGCTCACTGCAGCCTCCAATTTGCATAAACAATCCTCCCCACTGAGCCTCCTAAGTAATTGGGAACAGTCTGTGCCACCAAACCAGGTTTTTGAAGTTTTTTGTAGAGACAGGACATCATCTCTACAGCAGTGTTGCCCAGGCTGGTCTCCATCTCTCGCCTTCAAGGGATCCTCACACCTCAGCCTCAATCTGGGATGACAGGTGTGAACCACTGTGCCCGGCCTCACCTTGATCTTCTGATCCAACAGAGTCTGGGGGAGCAGGGCCAGGGGTAGGTGTGACTTGATGAGACGTGGGGACGGTGTGACTTTCAGAGTCTCCAGCCCTGAGTAGTGGGTCAGGGAAGTCCTGGTGAGCTGAAGCCCCAGCCCTGTCTTCCTCCACTCCCCTTTCTCCCAGGACCCAGCCACACACCTGAGGGATCCCCTGGATCATTGAGCTCAAGGAAGGGCACCCGTATATAGATAGGAGCCCGGTTACACTTCTCTAGGTCACCGCCCTGGTAGATCATGTCCAGTATTTGGCTCACCCAGGTAGTGCCTGGAGGAGGAGGGAGATGGGAGATGAACATGACCAAGGTGGGGGCTGCCACCTGGGAGAGGGTGGGTGGCCCTCCTCACCTACCAGACTTGGGGTAGGTGTTGATGAGCAGGTCATCAGGTAGGGCTTGGAAGCTCTCCAGGGGCCCCAGTGCGTCTGCAAAGTACTTGATGAGCGGGACCCCCTTCACATACTCCAGAGGCCGGCGGGTGGTGTCCTGGTTCAGCTCCATGTTCCTGTGTCAGGGGCCAGAGCCAGGCCCACACCCTTAACACCATCACAACACCGTGTGCAGAATTCTTTTTTCTTTTTTTTTGAGATGGATTCTCAATCTGCCACCCAAGCTGGAATGTAGTGGCACAATCTCAGCTCACTGCAACCTCAACTTCTTGGGTTCAAGCAGTCCTCTCCCCTTGGTCTCCCAAGTAGCAGGGATGACAAGCATGTGCAACCACACCCAGCTAATTTTTTTTTTTTTTTTTTTTTTTTTTTTTAGTGGAAGTAGAGATGGGGTTTTGCCATGTTGGCCAGGTTGGTCTTAAATTGGCCTCAAGTGATTCACCCACCTCGGCCTCCCAGTGGGCTGGGATTATAGAGGTGAGCGAGCACCCAGCTGCTCCTTTGCAGAGTTTTTGCTTTCAGGGAAGTCACTGAGGCCTAGGGAGGCTGAGTGACTTGCCCGAGCTCACAAAGCCAGTCAGTGGCGGGGCTGGGGCTGAAAACCAGGTCTGCGTCTAGTGCGGTGGTTCCCCAGCCTGGCCGCACCTTTCGTTCACCTGCAGAGCTGTGCAAAATCCCAGGGCCTGGGCCATGGTGCAGACCAGTGAAAGTGCCCTCACAGGGCGGGGCCCAGGTATCAGGGTGTGTGAAGGTCTCCAGGAGACTCCAGCTGCCCTGAGGAGGCTCTAGGCCTGCCTGTGCTGTCTCCCTGCCAGCCCTTTGTCTCACCATTTCCTGCTGAGACCCCAGCCTCCACCCAGCGGGCTCCTCTCCCCGGTGCTCCCCTCCTCTGGGCTCCTCACATGTGGAAACCTCCCGGGTCGGCCAGGCCTGTGATCCTCTTGCCTGGTCACAGTCCACTTGGGCTCCAAGACAAACACGGCACATTGAGCAACTGAGCTGGTACTGGGGGCCAGAGCCTGGTATGGGAATGAGCAAAACTGATGACTCAGCAAAAGGAGAAGGCAGGGTGACTCCCGCCTGTAATCCCAGAGGCTTGGGACTTCAACAGGGAAGGATCCCCTGAGCCCAGGAGTTTGAGACCAACCTAGGCAACAAAGCAAGACCCCTCTACAAAAAGTACTTTTAAAAATTAGCCGGGTGCAGTGGCTTGCTGTTGTCACCCCAGCTATTCAGGACGTTGAGGCAGGAGGATGGCCTCAGCCTAGGATTTTGAGGCTGCAGTGGGCCGGGATCCCACTACACGCCAGCCTGGGTGACAGAGCAATACCCTGTTTAAAAAATGCACAAAGGAAAAGGGAGGGAAGGGGATTCCGGCCAGGCTGGGTCGTCCTACTGAAATGGGATATCCATGGGGAAAGAACGGGAATGACAGAGGCCCCGGCTTCTGGAATGTTGAAGCCAGAAGCTGTGGAGGGTGAGGGCAACCTGGGCCACCCACTCGGGAACTCACCTGAGCTCTCTGGAACCTGGACTCCTGCTCTCCTGGCCTGCAGGGGTTGAGTGTGGTTGCGGTGTGGGGAGTGCAGGGCTGCGCTCTGCACTGAAGGTTTTGAAGGTTCAATGTGGGAGGGATCTGGAGTCAGGGCTGGGACTTAGCTCAGCTCCAGGAAGGAAGGGGCAGGGTTGAGGGTGGGGACCTCAGCTGCAGCCGAGCTGAGAGCCATCTACAAACCCAAGATGTGAGCTTAGTGTGTAGAAAACACAAGAATGAAAGGCAAAAGGGGCCTTTGGAGTTTTTTTGTGAGCTGTCACCAGGCTCCTGACCTTCTCTCTGATGACCTTCTCTCTGAACTCTACCCGGCAGGGCAGACCAACAGACAAGTTTTCTTTTTTCTGTTTTTCATGAGACAGAGTCTTGCTCTGTCGTGCAGGCTGGAGTGCAGTGGCACAATCTTGGCACACTGCAACCTCTGCCTCCTGAGTTGAAGTGATTCTCCTGCCTCAGCTTGCCGAGTAGTTGGGGAGTAGTTGGGATTACAGGCCTGCGCCACCATACTCAGCTAATTTCTGTATTTTTAGCAGAGATGGGGTTTCACCATGTTGGCCAGGATGGTCTTGAACTCCTAAGCTCAGATGATCTGCCCACCTCGGCCTCCTAAAGCGCTGAGATTACAGGTGTGAGTCACCATGCCTGGTGGACAAGCTTTCTCTAATTGATCCAGGCAGAGGAGGTGAGTGAGCAGAGGGGAAAGTGGGATAGGCAGGCCTGGGAAAGGTCACTTACCTGCTGGCTCCAAGATAGTCTTGAAGGCACCAGGGGTTCTGACCCAGTGCAGCCCTCAGGCCCCTATCAGCCCAGGCATTCCAGGTTCTGACCACAAGGCCAGTCTGGAGTGATGTGTGTGAGCAGAGTGAAGGGGTAAGGGTGGAGCAGAGCATGGATGCACAGAAGAAAAGGCTGGGCATGGTGGCTCATACCTGTAATCCCAGCACTTTGGGAGGCTGATGAGGGAGGATCACCTGGGGCCAGGAGTTCGAGACCAGCCTGGCCAACATGGTGAAACCCTGTGTCTACTAAAAATACAAAAACTACCTGTAATCCCAGCTACTTGGGAGGCTGAGGGAGAACTGCTTGAACCTGGGAGGCGGAGGTTTCAGTAAGCCAAGATCACACCACTACACTCCAGCCTGGGCAACAGAGTAAGACTCCATCCCGGGCAACAGAGTAAGACTCCATCCCGGGCAACAGAGTAAGACTCCATCCCCTCCCCTACAAAAAAAAAAAAAAAAAAAAGAAAGAAGAAGAACAAAAAAGAACAAGGAAACAAGGACACAATGGAGTCCCATTGCCCTGGGAGCCAGCTTCAGCTTCATGGCTCCCAGGACACCTCACAGAGCATCAGTAGAAGATCCTAGAAGAACAACAACCCTGCAGGTGCTTTTCTTTCCCTGGGTTTGAAGGAGGCTCCGCAGACAGAGGCTAGAGGAGGCTGGGGCTTGGAAGCCACGGGGCCCTAAGGAAAGAAAGCATCCCCCATCCTCCTTGCTCTTTGTCCTCACTATTTGCATTTAATTCCAAGGTGAGTCTCCCAAGCCTTCCAATAACTGCATCAGCTCAGAGGCAAGCAGGGGCTAGCTGAGGCCTGGGGTTTCCAGGCAGGGCAGATGCTGCTCACATGCTAGGGCCACAGGCTTCTCCTCCCTCCTCTGTGCCCCTAAGGAAGCCCCGTGACTGGCAGGACCTCGGGCTACTAGCTCCACCCACCCTCTCAACAATGACCATAAAGCACCCTTGACTCAGATTTTTTTTTTTTATTGTATTCAAGTAAAAACCCACCATATCTGGATCCGTGGCAGGTGGCACAGAAAAGAGGTAGGAGGGGCACAGGGACACCAAGGATCAGGTCTCCAGCAGGTCTGTCCAGTGTGCCTGCAGAGGCAAGCATGGTCACAGGCAGCCCAGGGCAGGGAGTGGGAATAGGGAGCCTGCAGCCAAAGCCCACTCACCTTTTCTAATTCCAAGTCTTCTACTTCTTTCTCAGTGTTCGTCTGGCACAACCAGATCAGGTCTCCCCACAGCAGTGACTTCTCACAGCTACCAAGGGAGAGGCGGGTAGAAGATAGAGTCAGACTCCACAAGCCCCCTCCAGGCTCAGCCCTGGAGGCTGACATGAGGACTCAGCTGTCCCGGGCCTGGACTGCACAACTGGGAACCCTCTTCCCAGAGCTAGACCAGGCTGTGGCCGGGGGACTGCACTCACCTAGGGCATTGGCCCTCTAGGGGCAGAAGCTGCCCTGGTTCTTCCCGAAGGAACTCCTCTGCCAGGCAGATCACGTGGGCCCGTAGGAGGCAGCCAGGGTGGGGGCAACACAAGGGTCCCTGTTCATCCTGTCCTAGGCAGCGGGCAGGTAGGACACAAGGAGAGAGAGGGAGCTGGCAGCGAGTCCCTCTGTGCAGCAGGCACTGTTCTGGGCATTACACAGCTCCATCCCCAGAGGCAGAAGTGACTTATTTGCGTCTTACAGATGAGGAAACTGAGATGGGGAGTTAAAATCCTTGCCCCCTGGGGCTAAGCTGGTAAATATCCTGTGAGCATCAGCAGTGACTGACTGAGTCACAGCCTCACCACTGCAGCCAGACCTGAACTTCCTAACTGCTCAGCAACCCCCCACAGGACACTGAATCTCCGCAGAGCAAGCCCTCGACTCACTCACAAATACCAGGAGCTCAGTAGAAGGTGCCCATCGTCCATTATTTTATTAAATATTTAGGCTGGGCACAGTGGCTCAAGTCTGTAATCCCAGCATTTTAGGAGGCTGAGGCGGGTGGGATCACATGGGATCACCTAGGGTCAGGAATTTGAGAGCAGCCTGGCCAACATGGTTGAAACCCCATCTCTACTAAAAATACAAAACTTAGCCAGATGTGGTGGCGTAGGCCTGTAATCCCATCCACTTGGGAGAGGCAGGTGAATCGCTTTAAACTGAGAGGCAGAGGTTGCAGTGAGCCGAGATTATACCACTGCACTCCAGCCAGAACGACAGGGTGAGGCTACATCTCAAAAAAAAATAAAAATAAAAAATAAATTTCTTGGCCAACGGCTCTGCGCAGGACTTTGTTCTACAGCAGTGATAAAAGCTGCCCTCTGAGAGTACAGTATAGCAGTTGGGGTGGGAGAAACTAATGAGATTAATAAAACACTTGGCATGCCAGATGATATCAAGTGTTAAGGAAAAAGGGGGTGGCCGGGAAGTGCACAAGAATGAGCTCAATTAATTTCATTGTTTTAGAGACAGGGTCATGTCCAGGCATGGTGGCTCACGCCTATAATCCCAGTACTCCGGGAGGCTGAGGCAGAAGGATCACTTGAGGTCAGGAATTTGTGACCAGCCCAGCCAACATGGCAAAAACTCATCTCTACTAAAAACACAAAAATTTGCTAGGTGTGGTGGCCCATGCCTGTAATCCCAGCTACTTGGGACGTTGAGACAAGAGAATCGCTTGAACCCGGGAGGCAGAGGTTCCAGTGAGCTAAGATCACTGCACTTCAGCCTGGGCAACAGAGCAAGTCTCCGCCTTAAAAAAAAAAAAAAAAAAAAAAAAAAGTGCAGCTGGAGAGATCATAACTCACTGCAGCCTTGAACTCCGGGGCTTGAGTGATCTTCCCATCACAGCCTCTCCAGTAGCTCAGATTACAGTCTCATGAGTGCCACCATGGCCGTCAACTCAGAGCTGCGATTATAAATCGGGAGCCAGAGAAGACCTCACTGAGGTGGTAGGTTATCAAGACAGATGGCCTTGGGAAGAACCTTTTTGTCAAAGGGAAATGGTGAAGGCCCTGAGCAGGTCCTGCTTTGCTCAGGAATGGCCATAAGTACTATAGCATCTGCATCTTAGAGATGGGGATAGGGTGGCCAAAGCGTGTGAGTGGGTTCCCTCAAGAAAGAGCTGCACCCGAAGTCGTCTGGACCCTAGAGCCTGGGGTAGACCTCACCTGGATGGGCCGGGCGCACAGGGCGCAGCAGTCCCCTGCATCCTCTTGGTCTGGCTCAGGCTTGGTGTCATCAAAGGGGCCTGCGCGGTGCCTTAGGGCTGGGGCCTGGGGCGGTGGAGGCCCGAAGGCCAGGGGCACGTGAGGCGGCGGCGGCAGGCAGAGGTCCTGGCGGAGGTCAGGGCGCAGCCAGCGCAGCGTGAGCGGGAGGCGCGCCCAGGGCGGTGCGCGGAGCATGTGTGCCAGCACGCGCAAGTGGAACGTGAAGGCCGTCTCTCCACGCAGGCGCGGTCCCACGTGCGCTAGGCGGCGCGAGGCGTGCGGGTGCTGCCAGGCCCACTCGAACTGTGGGCGGGGTACGGGGCGTCAGGGCGGCTCGGAGCAGGAGGCGGACCCCGAGCCCTCCCCGACCCGCAGCCGCCCAGTCTCCTTTCTTACCCGAAGGGCAGCCACTGCGGACAAGAAGCCGTGCACAACGAGCACCATCTCCCTGGGGAGGAGAACGGGGATGTCCCTCTGAGCCGCACCGCGGGTCCAGCCCAGCACCCTCGCTGTTGGTCCCTGCCAATCCCACCTGAGATCTGGGTCCTTACTCTAGGCTTCAGCCGAGCCCCAGGCCCCGCCCCTGCCTGAAGGCATGCCCTTTGTGCCTGCCCACCTCAGGCCACGCCTCCAGACCGGGTACCCACCTGTCCCCACTCCTTTCTCTCCTGCGCTCCACCCGACCCCAGCGTGCCCACCAAACCCCCTAAGCTGGACCCCAGCCTGGATCATCACCCCCTCCAGCCAGCTCCTCCCAGAGTTCCACCACGTAGATGCCCCGGGCACCGCCTCCCCGTCACGCTCCTCCCCTGAGACAGGCCCCGCCCCCGCCCTGGACCGCCCCCCCCGCCGCCCATGTTACATCAGGCCGGTCAGTCTCCTCAGGCCTGTGCCCCGCAGGGTCGGCCTCCTCCAGGAAGCCTTCCTCCAGGCACAGAAGCCCAACCCCTCTCACCAGGGCCCTCGCCCGCTAGTCCTCCAGGCCCCGCCTTTTTTGCGACCCCCGTTGTGCTGCTGAACCCGACGAGCAGGATTGACAGTGAACCCCACGTAGACGCGGCCCCGGTGCCGGGGGTTCAGGCAGTAGAGCAGGTAGACGCCGAAGAAGCGCCTCGGCCTCGCTGCGACCCCCGCGGGACCCATCGGGCCTCGGGGTTAGGGAACAGCAGCAGAGGGCTGACTGCCGTGACCTAGTGCCCAGGGGAGGGCTGGATCGCTAGGGCTGCAGGGTGCTTGCTTCTCAATAAGCTCTCAGGGACTATCCCGCGGCTGCCTGAAGGCCGCCGTGGTGCGGGTTCGTACTCCTCTCCGGTCTAGAGGCGGGTGTAGAAGTCCAACCTCGGAAGCCAGGCTGCGGTGCAGGCGGCGAGCACCTGCCAATCAGCATCGGCTCCGCCTGAGTCCCACCTTCTGAGGACTCTGATTGGCTGACGGATGGCAGGCGCGAAAAGCCCAGACCGTTGGAAAGCGCGAGCGCTTGAGGGCGGAAGTACTGCGTCGACATACGCCTTAGTAAGGGCGGAAGTGGCTTCCCCAGCGGAAGTGGCTCCTGTAAGGGCGCAAAGCAGCGTGGCCGGGGTCCTAGCTGGGGTTCTATCCCCTCTGGGCTGCCGCCCCGGCTGGCATACCGCCATGGAACTCAGCGCCGAATACCTTCGGGAGAAGCTGCAGCGGGACCTGGAGGCGGAGCATGTGGTGAGTTGAGTCGCCTGAAGAGGGGAAAAGAGCTCTGCGGGCGGGTTCGGCACCATTCATATTCTTCCGCTCGGTAGGAGGTGGAGGACACGACCCTCAACCGTTGCGCCTGTAGCTTCCGAGTCCTGGTGGTGTCGGCCAAGTTCGAAGGGAAGCCGCTGCTTCAGAGACACCGGTGAGGCCTTGGGAACACCTTGCCCAGCGCAGTGTCCGCTCCTGCACCACAACCCCAGCCACTCCCCTTTCCCCTGCAACCTAGCTCCCGCACTCCCGCGGGCGTGGCTCAGGGAGGGACCTGAGGATCCCGCCTTCGTGGTCCCTGATTCGAGTATTTCGATGTAGACACTCCCCACGTACGTGTTCCCACGGCCTGGGGACGACAACCTTGGGGACACCTGCAGTCTCTTGGGTCACCCCAGCCTCGGGTGTGCGATCCCGGCATGCCAGTTTCCTAACCTCATCTCTCGTCCCAGGCTGGTGAACGCGTGCCTAGCAGAAGAGCTCCCGCACATCCATGCCTTCGAACAGAAAACCCTGACCCCGGAGCAGTGGGCCCGTGAGCGGCAGAAATGAGGGACTAGGACCTGCACAGCCATTAAATTATAAATCTGGGCCAGCTTCTGTGTCGGTGTGTGTGTGGGAGGGGTGCTGAGGCTGAGTCTAGGACCTGGTCTCTCTCCCTGCCCTGCCTCCGTCCGTTGTTTTATCTTGGACAAGTCCCTTTCCCCGTGTAGCCTCTATCCCTGCTTGTAAGATGAAAGTTCTACCATGAAAGTCCCTTCCAGGGTCTGCCTAGAAAGCCTTCTTTCTGTAATTCCATGTAGACATCTAGGAGTCTGTACTGCCACCACCCACCCGACTCCCAGAGAGCTCAGGGCTCCTGCTCTCTGCCAGCCTTCATTATGCAGAGATGAGAACGTGCTCCGGGTTTCAGGGCCATGACCAGTTGAACAAACCTCTTCCTCTCCTCGACATCACCGCAATGTCAGAGGCATAATACAGAATTCCATATATTCCCTGCAGGTTCCCCCAGGCCTTGTCACTACCAAGAGGGAGTGGTACCCAAGTAGGGGGTCATCACCACCTGAAATGCTGATGTTTTCAGACCCACTGGAGAAAGTCCAGTGGCCCCATAGCCCTGGGCTTGCTGTGGCTACAGCTGCCCCCCTGGAGGACCGTGGAGGTTTTAGGAATAGTAGATGTGGGAAGGGGATAGGGGTGAGATTAGAGCAGGAATATAAGGCTGACCAAGTCAGAAAATTGGGATAGGTGATGTCCCTGTATCAGTCTTCACCACCGGTTAGTACGATTGCCATCACCTTGTTTTTGTTTGTTTGTTTTTAGTTTGTTTGTTTGAGACAGGGTCTTGCTCTGTGCCCAGGCTGGAGTGCAGTGGTGCCATCTCAGCTCACTGCAACCTCCACCTCCCAGGTTCAAAAGATTCTCGTACCTCAGCCTCCTGAGTTGCTGGAATTACAGGTGTGCACCACCACGCCTGGCTAATTTTTGTACTTTTAGTAGAAATGGGGTTTCACCATGCTAGCCAGGCCAGTCTCAAACTCCTGACCTCAAGTGATCTGCCCACCTCAGCTTCCCAAAGTGCTAGGATTACAGGATGACTTGAGGCCAGCAGTTTGAGACCAATCTGGCCAACATGGTGAGACCCCATCTCTACTGAAAACACAAAAGTTAGCCAGACGTGGTGGCATGCGCCTGTGATCCCTGCTACTTGGGAGGCCGAGGCACGAGAATCACTTGAACCTGGGAGGCAGAGGTTGTGGTGAGCCGAGATTGCGCCATTGTACTCCATTCTGGGCACCAGGAATGAAACTCTGCCTCAGAAAAAAATAGGTAAAAAAATTCAAAAGCGAGAGACTTAGGCTCTGACCTGGGATTTGCCTTCAGTGATCTGGGCTTCTGCTTTCAGCCTCACTTTCTTTTGTAAACTAGGGTCGGCTTGTTGCTAGTTCTCTCTTTTCCTTACAAAAAGTTTCCTTGTTGTTTATATTTTTAAAAGACAGGGTCTTGCTGTCACCCAGGCTGCAGTGCAGTGGTGCAATAGTAGCTCATTGCAGCATTGATCTCGTGGGCTCAAGGGATCCTCCCGCCTCAGCCTCCTGAGTAGCTGGAACTACAGGTGCGCACCACCAAGCCATGTTTTTCATTTTTTCTAGAGATGGTGTCTCTCGCCTCATTGCTCACGCAGATCTCAAACCCCTGGGCTCAAGTGATCCTCTCGCCTTGGCCTCCCAGAGTGCTGGGATTACAGGCGTGAGCCCCCTTGCCTGGCCCCCCTTGTTAGTTTTGTCTTTGGACCTGCAGCTTAAAAGATGTCGGACGGGTGTGGGGGCTCACACCTGTAGTCCCAGCACTTTGGGAGGCCAAGGTGGGTGGATCACAAGGTCAAGAGATCAAGACTACTAAAAATACAAAAATTAGCTGGGCATGGTGGTATGTGCCTGTAATCCCAGCAACCTGGGAGGCTGAGGCAGGTGAATCACTTGAGGAGAGGTGAATCACTACCTGGGGGGAAAAAAAAAAAAAAGATGTCCACCTCTCAAGTGATGGTTCATTTCCTCACAAACAACTGCTAGCAGAGTCACGTGCAACCTGATGCTTTGGTTGACTAGAAAAGGCAGATTTGGGGTAAACACGGGAATTTTTGAGGTCCCAGGCTAGGGCCTTGCATAGCTCAGCTGTGTCAGTTCTGAGAAGGAGCTGGGAATCGGAGAGCAGTCTCCTGGCCACATCAGTGTGGCTGGTTTCCACCCTCGAAGGCCCTGTTCCCATGCTGTAGGGTGTTAGGGGGCATCGCGCATCCTTTACCATGGGTTAGTCCCCTCAGCACAATAAAGGGAAAGGAAGCTCAAGGGCTAGTCGGTTCAGCAAACCCCACGTCTAGAGGACCAGTCATTAGAGTCTGGGAGATACAAGAAAATAAAGCCATTTTATTATGATTTTTTTTCTCTGCCACGTGGCTGGGAGTCGGGAAGGAGTGGACGGGTGTGAATGGCTGACCCTGCTGAAGGCCCTGCGGGGCTCTACTTGGCCTGGACTGTCTCCTCCAGCCCGTCCAAGCGCTTCTGTAGCTCCTGCACTGTGGCCTGGAGCTTCCGCATCTCCTCCTCCAGCCGGGACACAGCATCCTGGGGACCCCATGCTGCGTTAGGCCCAGCTCCTTCCTGGCTCCCCTTGCCCTGGCATCTCCTGAGCCCCATCCCAACAGCCCCCCAGGCCTCAGGCCCTTCTGTCACTCAGCCAGTTGCTGCCTGGAAACCTGAAGGCCTATCAATCTGAAACCTGTTTTCTGAGGCCTCAGGATTACCCACTCCCAGCCCCACAAAGATTCCCGATGTTGGGAGTTTCAGCTGCCCCAAATGCCAGGCCCACCCCACCCTCCCTGCCTTATTCCCTGGCTCCCTAGCCCTCTCACCGAGCTGGGAGTGCCACTGGCCTCTGGTGCTGCCCTCCTGCGCCCGGTGTCCAGGCCCCGGTTGACCCTCAGCTCCCGGCTTTTCGGGGGCACATAGCCATCCTTGAGGGAGATGAGGAGGGGCCCAGCATCCCGACCCCCCAGCCACTCCTCAGCCGTGAGGGCAGGGTCAGGCCCTGCAGTGGGTGGATACAGGTCCTCCTGGAACAGGTCCGACTGTGGGCAAGGCCAGGGCTGGTGAGGAAAGTGCTTATGCCAGGACACCCCCCAGCAAGGTCGCGAAGTCAGTGCCCAGCCCAGAGCCCAGGACGGGGCGGGGAAGTGTCACCTTTCGAGGCACTGTCATGGCGATGGGCTCACACCTCCGCTCGTGCAGCTTATAGAACCTGTGGGAAAGGGGAGGTGAGCGGGGCCCACAGCCTGGTTGGGCGGGCTTGGGACTGCCCAAGGAGCATGCTGTGGTCAGGACCGAGGGTCAGTCACCTGGCGATCTCACACTTGTTCACCTCCAGGCCACGTTTGGGCATGTAGCCCATGCCCCGCTGGGACTCCTTGGAACTGAACATGGAGAGATAGTGCAGGAATGGAGCCTCGGAAGTGATCTCAAAGTACCGGATAGAGCTGTCACCCTGCAGGTGGCGGGTGTGGAGGGAGGGTCAACACCAGTGGATGACCCTTCCCCTGGCCCTCTCCAGGCCCTTCCTGCCCGCCTCCCACCCCCACCCCGCCCGACGAGGCCACCTTGCCACAGAGGTAGACGATGTTGGTGTCAGGGTCAAAGAAGGGCAGCAGGACACCGCTACTGGTGTCCAGCTCCTGCAGGGACAGCGGCTCCTCCAGGTGCTTCTGTAGACACAGGTGAGAGGTAACATGCCAGGCCCTGGGATGGTGGTTTTCCCTGGGAAGTGACCCGTGAGGGCCCTCCCGACCAACCAGTGGGAACACCCATCTCACGCCTGGGTAAACTGAGGCCCCTGGCCATCCTGCAAGGCAAGTGGCAGAGCAGGGATGAAACCTCCAGTCTTGATTCCCAGTCCCGGGGCCCTCAGCTTCCTGCCCCGGCACTCACTGTGTCCCACAGCGCCACCTGCCGCTCACTCATGCGGCTGAAGCCCGTGGTCAGGATCTTCCCCTCTGACACGAACACAGCACGCACTGGCCGGGTCCCCTCGTGGGGACGATCCTTCTCCTGCAATGAAAGGAAGGTGGTAAGTCGGGCACCCATACACACCTATGGGGCCAGTCCCAGCTGGAGTTGAGGGAGGGCAGCATCCAAGGGCCTGGTTGATGGTGGATAAGAAGGATCCAGGCTGTAGGGTCAAGGGTCAGGGTGCATGGCGACTCACAGCTACGACAGTGCCTTTGCGGGGCTCAATGATGCGCACGCGCTTGTCGCGGCAGGAGGTACAGATGAGGCCTCCGTCTCGGCTCCAGTCCACGCTGTAGATCGTGTCCGGGTGCACATCTGGGCCCAGTGTCAGCACGGCTGCCCCAGTGCCCACATCCCACACCATGATCACGTTGTCACAACCTGCACATTCCCCACAGTGTCAGAAGCCACAAGCCTCCTGCCCTCACCCACGGCAGGTCACCAGCCGCCCCCAGCCCCTCCCACAGCACCTGCACTGAGCAGCACATTCTGGGCTGTGGGGTGCCAGGCCACAATGCCCACACGCTTGGTGTGGCCCTCCAGGGTGACGACAGGCTCCCGCAGGGGCAGTGTCAGGCCCCCATCCGGGATCTCCCACACCTGCAGAGGAGAGGCCGGTGAGTCTTTGGGGCTCCAAATGTCAGGTCCCATCCTAGAGCCCCCCTCTCAGCCCCTGGGTCCCCACCATCACTCACCATGACTGTGCAGTCCTCAGAGCCACTGGCAATGACGTTATCATTGTGTGGGCACCAGGCGATGTCTAGCACAGGGGCTGTGTGGCCACAGACCATGGGCACGTTCTTGTCCACACGTCCAGTCTAAAGGCATAGCAGAGCCTTGGATGGAGTTGCTTTTGCCTCCCAAACTCAATCCAACCTCCCCCCACCTCCTTCAGAGAGGCCCAGAGAGTTAGACTGGGGGGTCCCTGGGAGCTGGACCAGGCCCTGGGGTGGGAAGGGTTTGTTATCTTGTCCTAGTCCCAAAATGGCCTGGGCAAACCCCAGGAGGGCTGACACATGGCGGAGGTTGTGGG